GCGCAGATTGCGACTTCGCACGGCAGACTTCAATTCGGCTGAGCAGTTTACCTGGTACGAAGCGTTTGTGGAGGCTGAGAAGGCAGCTGATTATCCAGCAAAGGCGTGGTCAGACATACTGTTGCCGTCGCTTCCCAAGGCCACTGCGGAATTTCTGACCGAGCTGTTCGATCTCTTCACCACGATTTCCGCGCATCACGTCGCCAACGCTATGCCAGCTTCTCGACTCGCCAGGACTCTCTCTTACTGGATCTGGGGAAGAATTAGTGCAGATCGCCCACCCACGAATCTCGAGGAGCTTTTCAGGGCAAGCGAGCGCAGTGCTGGCATAACCGAACACCTCTTGCTCGCCCACATTCGCAATCAGGCGGCCACGATTCACTTGATGCCGACTCGTTTGACGGAACTGGTGCAAAAGTACCCGTACATTGCAGAGGGAACCACTACCCCTTCTCTCCCTCCTCCCTTTGCGGCAGCGCCTCATTTTGCTCTTCGCGTCGATGTGAAATCCGAAAATGTCAGTGTGAACCCTCGACGCCCTCGAGGACCAAACGACACTTTCCGCGCAGCTTGCAAAGCAATCATCGGCGACACTGACAGCAGTGCTGAGGTGGACGATTGGACGGCACTCGTTGCTTATGCCACCAATGCGCCAGGCCCTGCAGAGGCGGCTGCCAAGCATGCAGTCGATGGGGACGCTACGACTGATTCGGTGCCAGCATCCGCACGCCTCGCAGGTGGGTTTACAGGCGCTCTCGGACCGGAGCCTTCGCCAGACTCCAGCCCAGTTGCAGGCCTCAGCACGCTGCCATTGGATCTGCTAGAAACAGATGAGGAGTCCGACATTCGTAGAGAGAGCGCCCTTTCGACGCCTGAAGACGCCCGCGTCTTGCGTATTGTGGCGACCATTCTGGCTGCGAGACAGAACATACTCGATCCGTTACCTACTCCGACACCAGAGATGCCTCCTGCAGCTCAGCCTGACCCATGGAATGACGAGACCATGCTGCGTAAGACTCGCTCCTCACATCCGTCCGTTTACGGAAGTATCTCCTCGAGACCTGGCACGAGTATGAGCTCCGTGCCACCAAGCAGATCGGTCGACAGTGCCATGTCAAACGGCATGAGTGAGCCGGCGTCGAATTGGCTTTCCGCTAGCGAAAGCGGTGCAGGCCTTGGTCTCAGTCGCTCCGTTTCGGCTTCCTCTGCCCTGGGTACCAGCAGCAATTTGCCTCCGAGCTCGAGTCTGCGAGGTTTGGGCTCCATTGGCGCTTTGGGAACGCTGCGAGAGGACGACGGCAGTCCTTCACAGGAGGCAAAAGACATCGACTGGGCCGACTTCAGCTCTATCGGCTTTGGGCGCTCCGTCAGTCAAGTGGCAGATCTTAGTCTGACTGACGTCCGACCCATTAAAACTCCTGAGCCAGAGGAAGATCAAGAAGGAGGCCGGACTTCACGGCAGGAACCCCCTATGGCGACTACATCAACATCTTTCGGCTCTTTGAGACGACGCGGAACAAAGAGTCGCAGACCTGTCTCTCGCGAGTCGGACATTGACTCCGACTTCGGCATGCTCTCCCCTAGCGGTCGCTCCCACCGTGCGCCGGCGGAGCCCGCATTTAGTGTCACCAAGGTTTCGACGATGCCCATCAATGAAGGCTTTGTATCCATGTGGCAAGATCAGCTTCTAGATGCAGCTGCATGCGCTTCTTTTTCCCCAGTGCTCATCGTTCAGCTCAACCAGAAGGCAGCGTCGCGCATTCTAACGCCCGGAATGGGCACCCCGACGTCTTCCTGGCTTTGCATCGA